TTGATTGTGTGGTTATGCTGACCAGTCACTGTAAAACAGCTGAATTGCTTTAGTGCTTATAAACTCTGTCCCTTGTGTTTTATAAGCAGCAATTCTCTCTCCTCTCTCCTCACAGTTAATGCACTTTGGCATCTAGGAGAAATTACATAGCGGGGACTGCCAGAACACACTGCAGAACACTAAATAACCTGTGTAATGTAGCTTTTCTTTTGTTGTGTAGTGAGGTGGCCAACTTTCATACCTCCTGTCCAAGAGAATTAGGAGCAGACACTGATGGACTAATAGCAGGGTAATAGTGTCTTGGTGGTATTCATTGTGCAGGCTTGCTAGGCAAGTAGTGCATCTTCCTTCAGTGAAGTACTAAGCCCTCTTCACAAAGGACTAGCATGATGTTAGCGGGCCTTTCAGACTCCACCGTCATCCTGCTTTTTGTACTGTCCTGCTGTCAAGAGCTCAGTTCAAATCTTGTCTAATTGGGAGGGTATCATTCATTCTCTGCTTAACCCAAGAATGTGACCAGTCAAATGAACTTTTACCTGAGTTAAACACAAATTTAAGCTCATTATCTCTTATTTTTAAATGCCTTTCCATAAGTTACACTGAAAATTATTTTACTTAATATATTCTTTTAATACTGTCACTGTCAAAATCTTTTCAACAAATAAATGTTTTTACTTAGTCTAAGGGAATTTTCTTTAGCAGTAACAAGGCACGTAGGTTGTTTGATGGTTGACTCTAAGCTATTGTCTGATACCTTTAAACGTTAAGTTTTAGAGCAGATGTAGTCAGATCACTCACTCACAGATTGCTCACCTTGAGATCACTTACTTCCTTGCTGGGGGATATCAAATGTATTTTTCTGTCTTTTCCTCTGCCTTTTCACATTAAACAGCCAAATACGTACAAACTCCTGAGCTGCAGATCAGATGTACAAGTGCATACTTAACTCTGATCTGAACAGAGTAGAAACTAATCTTGGGGAGAAAAGTGGTACACCCTAAAAAGTGAGGAAAGAGGACAAGTTTACAGCACCTTTTTAAACAAATATATTACACTCTTCATAAGTGGCTTCTAACATTTGAGTGCCCAGATTCATGTAATTACATGGTTGATCTCCATCCCCACAGAGGAACCAATTACTTGTGAAACCTTTGGACTCTCGTAGATCGTGGTGGCAATCACTTCAGCATAATCAGACAGTACATATCTGAAGGGAGACGCTCTGCATTAGTACTCACTTCTGAAAATGTGGCTTCCCCCCAGTCAGATGTGGAAACGAGGCAGAGAGAACTTCATGACAAAATCCTGTCTCTGGAGCAGTAAAGAGGCCTCTTTCTGAGCAGTGTCCAGAGGCCGGGGAACTCTCTCTCTGTTTGAGGTGGGCTATGGGTATGCACTTGTGGCACAGTTAGTGAAAGATAGTGGGCTGTAATTTAACAGGCATATTGGATCATTTTATTTACTCTTTTTTTTTTTTTTAATATCCAAGGGCCTGCTGGTGGACCTTTGACAGAAATGTAGCTTATACCTGCACTAGAACTGTCAGTAATATCACTGACATGAATGACGCGTGCCCCCGGCGGCTGGGGAAGATGGTGGCAGTAAGCGGGAGCTCCCACAGACGCCACTGACAGTGGGTGGGGTGGGGTGACAACTGCAGACCAGGGGTCGGCAACCACCCACAGATGCTGTTGGCAGTGTTGGCGGCACATTGGCAAGCGGAGATCGCCTGCAGGCACCGCTGAAGGTGTCAGCAGCACCTTTTTGTAGGGGGTGCACCGCCATGCTCGGGGTGCACGTGCACCTGCATGCACCTATGCATTGCCCCTGATCACTGAAACCAGTTTCCCAAATGGAGTTAAGCTGCACTTGCAGGGCATGTAACTTCATTATGGTTCTTGCTGACAAATTGATGTCAGAAGTGTGACATCTTTCCCTTACAAACAACACAGCTATGCAAGAAAATCTTACGTGGCAGACCAAGCAGAAAAGCTAAGCACACAAACAGATCACTCATCTCCCTATTCCCACTTTGTGCCCTGAGACACTAGGCTTTATATAAATCTTTCAGATCTTTCTTATGTCAGACTGAGCCAGCTGAAAGTTCAAAGCTTTTTGAGTGGTATCGCAGGGGACCTGAGCAGATTACCAAATCCAGTCTGCTATGGATTTATTCTTAAAAGAAGAAGTGAACATTGAATATTCTACAGCTACCATAATGCCACCAAATGGCTGAATGTGAATGCTAAACAGCTTGACTTAGTGTACATTCAATCATGTTACAGAAAATTGTGGCAGAGAAGGTCAAAACCTATTTCCTAATCATTCTTTTTTCCTTTCCTTTGGGGCATGTCCATACACAGTTCTGAAGCCACATTCAGTTGTAGCAATGCTGGAGTCTTTTACAGGATTTTTATGATAAAGTCCTTCCAGTGTTGAATGTTTATTCTTAAGAGAAATTCAAGATTTGTTTCTTACGATGCTTTTCACTACACTTGGGTAAGAACAATAACAAAGTACATCGTGTAGCCATTACATTTTTTAAACTACTTCAGATGAAGAAATTGAATCACTGTGGATTCTCAAAGCAAAATAGTTATGCTTATTGGACTCGGTTTAAAATGACAAATATACATATCCACTGACTTGAGTGAGAGGTGGTTTCAGATCTTCGTAACTATTCTGGATAAGGAATTCTTGTTATATTTAAGTCAGGTCACATACTTTAAACTTAGCCTTTGAAAATTTGCAGCAAGTAAGGCATCTCTGTTATTCTGTGGATGTTCTGGACCCAAACTAGCATGCTTAATTACATTTAGGATTATAATTTGACCATACTCTCATTTAGATTCTCTTTCTCTCAATATCAGCTGAAGGTGCTCAGTAGTGTTAAATGGGTTTATTCTCCTGATCAGATAAATAATTAAACCATAAGCAACATCTAACATGGGTGATTTTAACATGACAAGGTATCCTTATGTTTCTTCATTAACCGGTCATTATTTTTATTGTGCATAAACCTGCTTCCTGTTAAGAGTAAAAACCAAAAAATGAAGAACTATGGACGTATGAATCTTAAAAAAACAGTGTAAAAATGCACTGAATCATCCAGTTGATCTGCTAGGAGGTCTGTAACTAACTTTTTGCAACAGTTGCATAAATCCTTCCTAATTTAATTATACATAACCATCATCCAGGCAAATATTTGTGTTTAAGATAAATATGGAATAGATTGGCAAGAGTTTTACAATAGAAAATGTTTTATTTTGATAGCATTTTTTTTACAACGAGTTTTTTGGGTTTTTTTGTCCATTAACTCTTAACACCCCACTTCACGTAACGTAAGTTACTTGATGTGGTACACCGTGCATGTAATTATATGAAGAAGCAAGTCCAGCATTCATCTTCTTGCAAACTGTGAAACTATTGAGTTTCAAGGAAATGTCAGCCTAAATTACTCATATTGAAGAAGACTATTTATTTTGTGAGCTGGTGAGCCAAATTTTGCTTTCATATGTTTAAAGTGAAAGTCATTAGCTTTAACAAGAATGTACGTGATGGCATAATGAGACCCATTAAGACTGACTATACAAGAAATGGGGGTAAACATGTAATACAAAAAAAATGCCATATACAAACCTGAGCTCCCAGTGGGCAAAACTAATTTCTGATGGGCCAAATCATTTGAAGTTTTGATGTGCATTTTTGAAAGGTCTTTTGCCAGAATGTAAAGCAGATCTAGACTATGAGAAATAAATTAAGTATTTAAAAGCAACAGGCACTCCCTAATTACTTGTTTGTTAATCTAGTTTTCTTGGCATACTGGATGATGACTTGCTCTTTTGGGCTCCTGATGATACCAAGCTGCTGTCTTTAATGATGCTGTTGAAGTAAGTCACCAGAATTGGCTTAACTTCTGCTTCCTCATCAATCTAGCTATTCCAGGCATGTTACTAGTATACAATGATACTAACTGCCAGTGGGTTAAGCAGTACACAGGAAGTATTCAGCAAAACATAACTATTTCATCCACTGTTCATGTCAATTACACGTTGATGAACTGCAGAATTTCTCAAGGACGATTACAGCAGCCTGGATGGAGGCAAACAGAGGTGGGTGCTTCTCTATAAATAGCAGTTCTACAAATGAAAGACTTTTTTGATGCCAGCAGCAAGGTCCTGTGGAGTAGGATTCTCTGCAGTGCAACTGACAGGGACTCCTTCAGCTTCCATTGCTTCAGCAGTTGTTGGACCAATAGCAGCAAACTGAAGTGATAAATTAGTCATGAACAAGACAGCGGAAAAAAAACAGTGTGCAGATCTGCTCTCATTGCATGATGTGCAGGACAGAATACTAGAAACTGAAGTAACTGACATCATAAGCACATCTAACTTGGAAATGTCAGATTAATATGGGCTCAAGCATGTTGGCTGTTTTCAGTGCAAACTGAATATTTTTGCCATTTTATTAGTGAATGATTTCTATATTCACTAGAAACCCTCTATCTATAGCTATTCCTAGCAATTGCTGTGATGATTAATGATGATGATCAAATGCAAACATCCCTGCTTTGAACTCAACCCACAACCTGCTTCTGACTCCAGGATACAGGCTACTGATAGCTTGAACCAACATAAACTTCATGGATTCCTGTTCCTCTTACTCTCACTGCTGTATGCAAATATCATGTGACACCCAAAAAAAGGTTCAAAGAGGTTCGGCTCCCTGAAGATGTAGAATAATAAAATGAACTCTTTTTACAGCGTGGTTTCACAAGGTATTTTGTTAGTCTGCTTTGCAAATGCTGTAACAGAAGTTACCTGGTGAGGCCCTGTTGTGACAGTTTAGTTATGGTGCTGTTGCTGATTTATTCTATTCAGGTTCTTATTTTACCTCCTCGCTTGCATGTGAGCTCTCTCTAATAGTGCACTGAGTAATGCGGGTAGCAGTTGTAATAGGCTTTTTCCTCCCTCTCTCCTGTTAAAAAAATAAATAAAATCTACCTTTCTAATTGTATTTGCTTAACAGCAGCTGTGCTGTGCAGGATTGTTATAGCAGGCAAGACCAAAGACAGGTGCCCTGCACTTGAAACAGACAGTGAGAGAATTCTTTGAGGTTTTGGAAAGCTTAGTCTCTTGCACACACAAGCTTTTACCTGTACAGAAGATAGTCTCATAGTGCATGTGTGTGGTAGAGCTGTCAAACACAGTCCTTGCCCAGGAATTTCTAGGCTTCTAAATCAGCAGTTTATCTTGTCTTGGACCATAAAGAATGATGGTGGTACACTGAGCCAGAACTTAGGTACATGTATAAAAGATAATGATCTTCAATCAGGCCAAGCAGATTTATTTATTCAGGTACAGAAAGTATGAAGTAAAGGGAGATTCAAAGCCACACTTCTACCCCACAGCTTCCACTTTTGAGAAACTGATGCTAATGCTAAACTCTACAGCTGGTCCCTATTGATCCAACTCCAGCCTCTGCAGCTCCTGCAGAGAGAACTATTCAGGAGCTCAGAACTATGCACAACACAGAACCATCTCTAGTGTGAACGTAGGACCAGCTTTTTGCCACAGGAGTTAAAACTAATTGAAACTACAGAGGAGAAAGAAGGAATCCCTTCAGCTCAAGTGCCTCTTCTACTTTAGGCCAGAGAGTAGGATTAAAATTGGAAAAGGATGGGTCTCCACTTTTCAGTTAGGACATGGATGGCCAGTGAGGGGCCCCTCTAATTCACATGCAGTATTTCTGAGCTGCAAACAAATGACGTATTTTTGTGGTGGTTTGAACTTCATCTATTCAACTCTTCCCCCACAGTCCCATTCTGAAGAACGATCATCAGTGGAAAAGGATAACAAGCTATAGCCAGCATCTTCTAAAACAGTGCTTCTCAAACTGTCTGATGTGGCGGACCGGCAATTTTTTTTCCAGTGGGCCAGGGACCGGTGCCCGGTCCAGTTGGTGGCAGCAACTGCATGTAACAGCGCTACACAAATGCGCGACTGGCTGTTTCTTTCTCTTTCCTCACATCGCAGGATTGACGTGACCTGGAGTATTGGAACATACGAACTGTGGTGCATGACATATCAATGTTATGCTTCTGAAAATATATTTCTTTCTTTCCTGGCAACTCGCTGCGGGCCAGCGAGTGGTGGCTCGCGGACCGGCACCGGTCCACGGACCACCACTTTGAGAAGCACTGTTCTAAAAGTATCAACCTTCCATAAATACCATACGTATTACACTGCATATCACTGTTAAATTGCAAGAATGTTTTTAAATGCCTGGAAGGAATCTGATGATAGGATTTTCTTCCGAAGGATTAAAGTTCTGCAATTAGATGGAATTTTTAAACAGAAAAGGGCCAACATTTAAAAACCTATTGATGAACTCCTTGCTGCTGGTTTGCTTTTAAATAATCTTATTTTAACTGCAGATTTAAGGAAAAACGAGGTATACAGCTAATTGTAACTAGCAGTGAGAATCTAAAGTATTTAATTAAAAAAAAAATTCATCTTTGCAGCAGCATTGTTTTGACCGAAGATTAGAAAAATTCGCAGTGGCCAGGAATTGTTATCCTTCAGTACAGACAGAGAGCCCAGTGACTTGTTCCAAGTCTCACTGTAACAGTGGATGTAAGAAATACAACTCAGCCCTCCTTTCAATCCTCTGCTTCCACGTTAGTAAACACCAGTGTGTTTATAGTTGTTTGGGGACTTTACCTTAATTTGATCAGCAAAATTGCCAGAAAACTTCTGAATATGCTGAAGACAAAATTTGACACCAGATGGGCTGAAGAACGCAATGCTTGCTGGCATCCCCTGTATAAAAGGAACAGCGTGTTGGAACAGATTTCTGTTGACTTGAGCAGCATATCAGAACACGGCTTCATATAAATCCATTCAGCAGTCTCTATGTGGAGATGCAGTGCTGGCAGCTAAGAAGAGCTGAATTTAGCCAGCCAAAATGATTTACTGTGAAAGGCTGGCAGCAGCACGATGGGTGCGCAGAGTTTGGCAAGGCTGTCCCCATGTGGAACTACCTGAAATTCAAGTGTGATTTTTTGCCATTCATTCTCCAAGGTCATGCAAGTGATTCCCTGATGGTTCTCAAAACTCCGCCAGCTCTGGACATAGGCCCTCTGCTTCCCATCCTGTACATCCTCATTGCTCACCCTAAATTTTCCCTGCTTATGCAGCTGCTATAGCAAAGTAGTTTAGAACAGGAGAAATGACTACCGAGTCTTGGGTTCTACAGCTGAGCAGACACAATGCAAAGGCTTTTTACCCCCAGAATATTACCTGATAAAGCTCTGAATGACAACCTTATTATGCAGCAGCATTTTTTTTTTAACAGGGAGGAAATATTAGCAAGCTTCCTTAGACTGAGGAAGGCATGAAGTCATCTGTACTGCATACATTTTTTTTCAGGATTGGCAGGCTTGGAGAAGGCTGCTTCTGAAGACTAAATCTACAAAGAAATCAGTTTGGTGCAAGGCTGTGCTCAAACTCTGTGGAAGGCATCCATTTTTGTTTTAAAATTTACCATTTAGAAGCTAGATTTTGGTCATGGAGATTGGAATGCTGGTTCAGCTCAGTATTTCTGGCTTTCAAACAGTGCTCAACATTACTTCTTTATATTTATCTCTAGACTTTCAATATCAAATGTCAGGGAGCTGTATGTTTAACAAAACTATTATTTAAGAATGGCTAAAAGTAGAAAGCAAGCATATCTTATTAGTTTTGCCTGGAATGACAAGAACCTCTCTAAATCACATAAAAAGGAGACATTAGAAAATATCCTGCCTGCTATTGACTCAAATTTATGCTAGTGCCAACCAAATAATATACTTATAATAATTGTATTATCTGTCTGGGAGCATAAGTGTAGCACAGTATATCAGTTAGGCTGGGCAGGTGAAGCCATTCAGGACTTTCCATGAGTAGAAGAACTTTGAAATCAATATGTAATTTAACAGTAAGTCAATATGACGCCTTTAAAAGCGGAGCAAGATGTTCAGACAGGCAGGTGTCTGGAGGCAAGGCTATTATTTTGAATAAGCTGAAACCTAGCTGTAACACCAGGCTCCCACAAACAAAACATTCAATAATCTAATCTTGAGCAAACAAAAGCTTTTATCAGTAGCTCCAAATCTACTTTGTTAGGCACTGATCTCAGCCTAATGATGTTTAGCAGATGGTAAAAAGCACTTTTTGTAACAATTCTAACAGGCACACCTAGTGATCCTTTAGAGGGCAGCATATCATCCAAAATTGTAGTACTAGAAGAGAATCAGTAATGCATTCTCAAATGAAATAATGAGAGAAGGAACACTGCTCAGCAACCATGGACAGCAGATAATTAGTGCTGGATGCAGATTGAGATAGTTGTGGCCAGCAGGTTCAATGACACTGAAAATGACAGGAGATCCTGTGTGTATGATCATTAGTAAGTGAATCAATAGCACCCCACAGTAATTGAGGCTCTCGTGATGGAATCTAACATGATTTTTTTCAGAGCTTTGTGAAGCAATTCAAAAAGAACAAATGGAATAGGTAATTATTTATATAAATAGTTTCCCCCGCTCCCAGTAATTCTTGTATAAAATATAGCTTAAAAACTGGATGAAAATCTGAAAGGGCCTTCCCTTTCCTCCCCCAAATAGAGACAACTGGGTATTTTAGGACTTTCTCTAACTCACTCCTTTTATGCCTATGTGCTACTGTGTTAAAGTTTTAGGGGAAACTATATCCAATTTTAAGGCCTCATTCACAATGTCCAAATGACTACAACATTACCCAAGCATTACCTTAGTACCCATTATGAAGAGAATATAGGAAGCTTGTTTATAGCCTTTGTTTCTATACCCTACAATGACATCTTGTAGCATTTTAACAGGTTTTACATAAGCTTCAGAAAACCATCCCTTTATAGTGGTCTTCTTGAATGTGTGCTACCTGTTGTGAGAAATAATTCTTCAAGGATTCTTGGAGATTGGGATGTTGAGCAGTCTGATAAACAGTGAGGCTTTCCAGTAAAATACCTGGAATTGAGAAAAAAGAACATGTGCTTACTATTTAACAGGATTTAATGCTGTTGTTATTCCAATAAAGCACTTCTATAATTCTGACTACATTTAAATGCATCACTTCAATGGCTAAGACACAGAAATATTTTTAATAGCTTCCTAGGCATTTCTACAGCTACCGAATATAATTTTAGAGCTTTTATATGGCTATGCATTCATAATCTGAGGATCTCAAAGCATATTACATATATCAATTAATTACTGCAACTTCCCTTGCCCCTGGCCGATATTACGTTTGTCAGAGGATATATGCAAGTTTCCCATGACATATAAATAAGCCATACCTTAAAGGAAGTTGTCCTAGCGTCAAAATGGCTGATCCACCACAAAAATGGTGGATCCATGATGAAATTGCTGTTTTAGACAGCAAACTTTGTCATGCTGGGCCAGATCTTAGATCCTTCGCTATCCATAGTGCTCTGGATAGTAGAGTGCCCCCTACAGTGGTGAGCCATCAGGGAGACTTGCAGATTGCCCCATTCCCATTACTGCCAGGCAATAACAGGGATAGGGACCCCTCCCCTCAAGTCAGACCTTGCTGTTTCTGGGAACCCTGCAAGCAGTCTTGTCCCTTCTGCCACCCAGCAGCAACAAGAACAGTGTTGCAGTGGCTGAACAATGGGTGGCAGCCTCCTCTTGATAATGAGAACATTTTTAATCTTTTGCTATCATTGTGAGGAGTGCAGGGGACAATGTTGCTCATAATAATAAATCAACTAACCAAAATAAACATCTAAGGAAATACCAACCTTTTTCCTTGAGCACTGTTGGAAGTACTTCTCTTTTGAGAGCTCCACAAGGAAAAAGAAGAGATGATGAATTTGGTGTCTCCTCTGTAAGCAAACAAGCAACCTTGTTAAATGGGTTATAAGGTTACCTTTTTCATTGAAATCACAAAAGATCTTTGAAAGTGCCAATTTTTGTACATATACTGAAAATGTAGCATTGCAGTCTCATACAATCCTAAAAATCATGGAAAACAGTTGCAGTTCAAGTCACATCTGTAATTCAGAAGGTAAAGGCTACTTAGCATGTAAATTAAAAAAGATCCCATTACTGTAATACAAATTCACTGGCTAAAGAAATCTGGCAAAAGATAAACTGCTCTGCTATATTCAATTTCCTTTCAACACAGAATAACCAAGCATTGTGTAAATTATCTCCTCCTCATCAGGCTTTCAGAATTGCCCAGTTTTCACAGACACATATTTTGGTATTTAACGGCTTAATCCAGCAGAATGTGTCCATCCATAGCTTGCTGAGCCATGGATACAATGATGGAAGCTCATCTTATGTAAAATGGACTGAATCATTTGTAGAGAATTTCCAAAGCTACCCAGAGCATTTTTTCCCTTATAACCAAGGGAGGAATGGCTCCTATTCCCAGTAGCAATGTACCATCACCCTTAACCTTTGGGAGGCAAGGAGGTAGAGGACAAGGACACTTCTTACATTGGGAAAAGCTTGCTGAGATTAATTGGGAGACCTAGAGCTCTTTCCTGACTGCTCTTGGAATGGTAACAGTTTGGGGTTGCGTATTTCTGACACTTGCTTCTTTCCAACTGATCTACAAAGATTTTTCAGCCATGATGATGACAGATTTGGGCTACAGACTCTATAAGAATGGTTCCCAACCTTTTTAGACTCAAAGCACTCCTTGGAAAATGCCAGCTCTTAGGGTTCTCTTTTTTTTTTTTTAACTATGAAAAAAATAATAGTCTGCAATTCTGGTGCAAAGAACTCAGAAAACCACAACAGAATATTTCTGACATTATGAATTCCTGTTTGAAATCTCTGGGTTTCTCTTGTGAGTCATGTGTAGGTGTCTGTGTACCCAACATTGCTAATATTGAGTGGCAGCATACAGCACACTTAAAAGGATCTTGCAGCACTTAGGTTGAGAACCTGTGTGCTATAAGATCCTTAGCTGAACTATCAGGCTAACTACACACACTCAAAAGGAACTACCAGACAGCAGTTCTCTATACAGTCATTTCTAGGGGGCCACAAGTGGAATCTCTGCATATACATACCTTAGATGTTGGAAAGAGAAAGGAAAGTGAAGTCTCTGATAGACGTAAAAAATGACTGTAGGGTTTTTGAACCTGACTGGATGAAATGAGGCACCACTAATCTTCGTATGGGGTCATGTTCAATATTCTGCTGTATATTATGGATTTTTTAAATTAGTAATTTAGAGTTGTTCTTTGGAAGCATTATTTTTCTTTCCTTTTTTTTGTCCTCACTGCAACTGACATTTGTGTTTTGAAAATAACATAAAAGGTGTTTCTGGGTCTGAAGAAAAAGAAGAAGTATCTGTAGCTCCAGTCAGGACCAGGTACCAGGTGTTGTATTTAAAAAGGAAACGAAAAGAAAAGAAGAAAATTGCACTGGGGGCAGTCCAATGCAGCCCATTTAATTCTTCTATTATATCTTTATTTAGACTTTAGATTCAAATCTGGATCACTGTACTTCAACATCAGCCTGAAGGCCAAGTAAACGTATAGGTTTCCTAGTCCTTTTAGATTCATAGATGTTAGGGTTGGAAGGGACCTCAATAGATCATCGAGTTTGACCCCCTGCATAGGCAGGAAAGAGTGCTGGGTTCAGATGACCCCAGCCAGATGCCTATCTAACCTCCTCTTGAAGACCCCCAGGGTAGGGGAGAGCACCACCTCCCTTGGGAGCCCGTTCCAGACTTTGGCCACTCTAACTGGGAAGAAGTTCTTCCTAATGTCCAGTCTAAATCTGCTCTCTGCTAGCTTGTGGCCATGCTCTCTGCTAGTTTATGGCCATTATTTCTTGTAACCCCCAGGGGCGCCTTGGCGAGTAAAGCCTCACCAATTCCCTTCTGTGCCCCCATGATGAACTTATAGGCAGCCACAAGGTCGCCTCTCAAACTTCTCTTGCGGAGGCTGAAGAGGTCCAGGTGCCCCAGTCTCTCCTCGTAGGACTTGGCCTGCAAGCCCTTAACCATAAGAGTGGCCCTTCTCCGGACCCTCTAAAGGTAATCCACATCCCTCTTGAAGTGTGGCGCCCAAAATTGCACGCAGTACTCCAACTGTGGTCTGACCAGCGCCTGATAGAGGGGAAGTATCACCTCCTTGGTTCTGT